TTCTGCGAGTTAGTTAAAAGTAAGGAGCAGCATTCTAGTATTGGTGGAACGTAGCATGTATACAGTGTATGCCTGGATTCCCAAACCATCAAAGAGTTACAGGTGTAGTCGGTGACTGACCTGATCTTAACTATACTATATCCCACATGTTTGACGAGGTTTAATGAACTAGTATAGTGTACTCTTAGGTCACGTCCTGAAATGCAATTGGTAACTGGTGATCCATTTATTCTCAGTGCACGGGACGCAAGACCACGGCGATAGTAGATGGCGTTGCACGTAGCTGATGAGAATTCCATTGTCCAGCGGTCACAATACCGGTCTGATGCGGTTAGATCGCTCTGAATGTGGGACATGCTAGATGTTGATCCATTCGCATCATGTGCAAAAAACCACTTTAATGTCATTTGCAAGTAAGAGTTTTCTTCCGTGGGTAAAGCAATTAAATATCGTTAACCTACAGAAGGAATAGTACTGGGCCCAGAACACTGCCCTACAAAATACCACTAGCGTTGGGCCTGTACTGTGACTCAGCTCTATCCAGCCGTACCATCCATGTACATCCAGTTAAATTAGCTGAGAACTATGACAGCAGCTGACGCGATATACCGAAGGATTGAAGTTTAGTCAATAGACCAGTATGTGGGCTAGGTAGAAGGCTTTATTCATGTCAAGGAAGACAATACTAAGTGCGTGGCGTGCATCCATTTCTTGAATATCAAGACCTAAGAACTCGAATTGTCACGTCTGAAAGGACCTTACCGACAATAAGGCAGGTTGGATATATTTAAGTAAGTTACCTGACAGCAAAACATCCAGAATCTTTGCTTCGACTATCCTCTTCGTCAGTCATCACAAGATAGGCGTGCGGCTGGTTGCACAGTAGTTGTTAATGTCCAGTCGACTGTCAGGTTTTAGGTCTCCGTAGAAAAACGTCATTCTTCCAGGGGGCAGGGAAGTTGCTGCTTCTCAGTGATAGTGTAAAAGTGTTCAGGAACATGAGTGTGACATCAGGACCCCCTAGGTTTATCACTACGAAAAGGAGGCCGTCGGGGCCAGGGTGGAAAGGTAACTTGAGCAACTTGATCACCCCAAGAATAGTACGCGGATCAGAGGTAATGCTGGATAGTTCAAGTGTAAATCTGTTAGTGTGAGCTGTTGATAAACTACTAACATCTGTGAAGGAATTGCACAAATACATGTTTATAATCTCGCATCCTTCTTCTTTTCAGTAACTACTGTTTTATCCGATAGCACTAGTGATCTGATGGGTGTCACATTACGGGAGCCATTTGCTTTAGTAGATTAGTAAGAGATTTTGATGGATTTACATCTGCAACCGCAGTTTTCTTCTGAGCCGAATCCATCGAAGACTGCATGCTTTTCGACTGCAGTATGGTTTCACGGATATGCATAAGAAAATAAAGCCCTTTGTTTTATTGTTTTTGGATCAGATGTTTTTTGTTTGACAGTTTTCAGGATCGCGGCAGTTGTTTGAGAGCATTGTCTACGTCCACATCGATTTGGTGCGAGTATATCCAGGCAGAATACAACATTTTATACAATGTATTGGTGGATGCATCAATATTACTTGCTAAAAGCAACTTATCCCGTTTCATGGATGTGAAGGGATTGTAGAAGCTGTCCAACATTTTACGCTGAACTGGCCGGAAAGCGGCTACTGGTCTCACATGGCAACCCCTCAACCCGGTTACCACAAACAGGAGCTCCACTACCTTATGGTGGCTACTGTGTAAATTCTCTAACATACTCGTAAATGTTTAGGAGATTCTTGTTGTCAGAAATAAGTCGACCATGGTCTAGTGGTTTCATGTAAACGCAGGGTGCATGCGTATGCAGCGATCGTGTCTAATTGAGCCATATATTTAGAGCTGCTGTTAGAGAGACCTAATTGATATTCTGCAACTTAACGTCAGCTACCATTTTGTGGGTAGGCGGTAGTTCGGAAACTTGATAGAGTAGTTTGGTGACTTCAGTAGCACGTTCCTTTGTAGTTTGTACTGAGTTATAACAGCAGCCAATCAAAGATCCATATGTACCCCACAGTTCTGTGCCGAGATTGAATCTTCGCGGTTACCAATAAGTTGGTCTTCAAATGTAAAACTATGGAATTCCTCAAGGATGTAAGTAAAGGATGCTCCACTTCGGCTAGTGACGCGTAAATTACAGAGAGTTCTGTAACCCGGCGTGTATAGAAGTGTGTCACGCGCACTTTAGGATTACCATGTTTCAGTAACAAGTACCAGCTGAGAACTAGATAGAAAGATAAATTTGCCTAATATGTGTATGTTATTTGGTATGGATCAAGGTTTAATGAAAATCTTTTTAACAAGCGCATGGCTGGATACAACTGCCGTAAGGTTGCTAAGTTTCATATTGTCACATGTATCCACACTCGCTGGCTTATTGCGTCTTCCAAGTTTTGTAGCTTTTGATTCCGCTTGTAAAATAGAACTTTTGTATACCTCAGTAGATGCGTCAAGTGCCAAAGCTATGGCCGATGCATTGGATAAATAGATGTGGCGCGTAGTGGAGAGTTGCATGATAAGATGACGATGGACTTGTGGCACAAAAGTGATCACTGTCATTGTAGGAATTGACTTCTACGGTAGCAGAGTTAGTAGGAGATAGCCGGGTACCGGGTACCAAATATTTGCGGGTCCTTAAGAAAGCGATAGACTTATGCATAGATAATATAGGGTGACTGCGTTATCCTTTTGAATTTGGTGTGGCGATTCGCAACTAACCAAATTCCATAACTTCCCGTTGTTGGTAAGAGAGAGGCAGAGGCCCCAAGTTATTGAGAAGGACCAGAGCCCAAAAAGATAACAGATGTAACCTAGTCGAAATCTGCTATTTGCTTAATTCCGTCCGTCAGTCCATTTAACTCGCTAATGCTCATAGAGAAGTGATAGATGTCGCTGAGCAGAAGCGTACCGATTGCAATCTGGTGCGTTCAGTGTCTCACTAAGTCGTCCGGCTGACTGCGTGGCCTAAGAAGAAATCTATTCAGACGCTATTGTGGTTTAAAACCTCATGTCAACCTGCTGATATCAATGTTTAGCTTGCAGCTCCGTAGCTTTTTTCTCTGGAATCTTGGCGGGGACGAGCATAATTATGAGGACATTAGGTTAGAGATGTCGTACATCTTTTAGGTAATTTTCTTGTATTATTTAGGGAACATTTTGTCCTCAATCCTACAGGGATATTCTCTGGTTCATGGTCTGCTATTTCTAACAGATGCAGTCAAACGCGGTCGAAACGCGCCGTGGTGTGCAGTGTTTTACGGCTGCAAACATTCAATTTCCATTTGGTTTGTAAATTAAATCATTAGTGTTAGCTCTTTCAACACGTCAGGCTGTTAACACAAGTCTCTGGACAAATGGATGCCTCTATTTTCCAACAAGTGCTCCTTGCGCAGTTCCGCTCCCATGTCCAATGCCTAATTGAAACCAAACATACATGGCTGGGACACGAACCAAATTCACCATAGTATGAACAATGAACAATGATGTATAACGGGTAAAAAAGCAGGTGCTTGATATGTACCGCAGGGTGTTTAGCGTGAAAAAAGATAGATCAAGGGATAATGGATTTGTCAGTTCGGGCGATTACAGATTTAACTGCACTGCCGTATAAAGGGAGTTTGAAAAGAGAATGGACGCACACAAAGCAATAAGGGGAGATGTTATTGATCAGATAATAGGTGAGAATAAAGTGAAAAAGAATGCTTGGACAACGCTTACTCGTGTGCAACTATCTTGTGTCCACAGGATACAGAAATGCAGTTTCTATAGTCGCCTCAAGCGCAGTGATAAAAGTTAGTCATTGGAATGCACTGTCTCCCTTACGAGCGGAGACTGAAATGTTTGGTATTATTCAACGGACAACCTCTCCAATTACGAGGTGACCTTAGCATAGCCCACTTACTTCTTCATTATCGATCTCCTGTGAGCGGCTCGTTACTGAAATTTAGCAGTAATATATACCTGGGAGGTCATTCCAGCCACCTGGATTGTTGCAGAAACCTTTTTTCTGTACGTGTATTGTACGCGTGGAACGCTCTCCCTGAATTGGCCTTTACTGCACTGACACCAGCCTTATGTAAAAAATGGTTGGATGACGCACTCGTCCATTTACATTTTATGTTAGCCCTATCTCAAGGTTCTTCTAGAATTTACCTTGCATTTATTCTATGTTACCTGTGGGTGCTGTGAAACTACGCGGATGTTAGGACTACATCGGCACAAAAGTTGTGTATTCCTTTCAAAGCAATAACTGTATTATTATTGTTTCGATAACCCCGCCAGACCACCAAAAGCGACATAAAAAGCAGTGTTACAGAACTTGTAATTTTTTTATTGTTTTCAGTCTTTCTTCTTGTCCTTGAGATCTATGTCATTGCTAAAGCTCCGCCCTTTATGGGTGCAAGTAAAGCATACTTTAATCCAGCTTGCAGGTAATCGCAGGACACCAGTGCACTTAGGGTCAGTTGCCATGCAGACTCACTGTAAGTTTGACTTTTCCTCACTTACAAAGCCTTTCCCATGGGTTTGCTGAGAATAGACTAGAGCAACCAGGTTCAAATTCCCACGCTATCTTACTCATTTTTGCACTCACATAATGAAGAATATCGAGTGTATGAACAATGGTAGTTAGACGTCACAAGAAACGGAGAGGTGGATCACTCAGACTTCAAAGCCATTCAGTCCAAAAATACACACGCTGCTCGTAATCACTTGGTCATATAGCAGAACTATCAAATGGATACTGCCTAGTCGTTATGCTGAGAAAGCGCGGACGGTATTGCTAGAAGTTTGATGTGACGACCATGAAAAATACTGTTCACCCCTCCTCTAGCATACCAGAAGTAACCAGCCACTTCATGAACCACCGAAAGCTATAAGTTAGAAGAGTAAGGTGCGCCAGTTGAGGGTGTAATTTGTTATTGAAGCGTTACAAAACATTGCAAATGGGGACGATACGACGTATATTCCTGTGAAATGTACCACATGAGAAATCGATTAAAACAAAGAAGCTGCGAATACAGATTGCACACTGACAAGATAATCCTAGTGGTGTGTGCAAGGCAAGCTGCTAGTGTATTCTTACTAACAAGGTTATGAATATCGCTAGTCGAGATTGCTGCACGATTACAACATTGGTGGCTTTATTGGTGTGATATGACGTTGGACACTGCCCACCCTGAACTGATTCTGATCAACCATCCAAACTATGCTAGCCTGAGTCAGTGCCGCGATACGTGCACCAAAACTAATTTGATACCAGTATCATGAGAGGCACGAAGTGACCGGGTTTGTGAATACGGAGGTAAGTATACCATTGGATTGGATACTTGGGTGTGTAAAGTTGGGACACATTTGGGAATGTTTAAAATATATTTGTACTAAGGTTGCGTATGCACATGGGTCAAATACGGTGAACACTAACAAGCAATTGAAACACGGACTCAGTATTTATCACCTGGGATTTGGAGGTTAGTGCTCAATCACAGTTGACTAGTGCACACCAGACATGGAGTAACAAAGGCTGTCGTGCGTAATGAGACACGGGTTTAACTCACATTATTGGGAATCCGGGCGCTTGCAATCCACTGGGTTGGGAAATAGGTATGTCTTACTTGAGGACTTGTATCCGGAATCATACAATTTGCATGTATACGGGCTAAGGAACTACTTAGTAAGTTGCACCAATAACAGGCATCTGCACAGTGGCTGTCGACGTTCTTTTTACGAAGATTTTACTGACGTCTGCTCTCCGTTCTCAGCGGCGAACACTTCGGCCTCAGGAGCACATCAACAACCATGCACAGTAAATACATGACTCACCCATGCAATAGGCAAAGTTTCTCTCACATTCGGCTACAAAAGAGAACAACTGGATATATTGGCAAGACAGAAATATGGGAGACGTGAACACTTAGCCTACGGCAGCACGTCAAAACTAACAAATAAAGTGGAAGTATCTGATGTATGTGTTTGAGATAAGTAGCACCACGGAAGCAAGGAGCTGCCAAATATAGGGTGATATACAATTAATCGATGCAATCACTTGCAACTTACATGAACAATTCACCATGTAGGGTGCTGTAAAGGTAGTAAATGTGAGCAAAATTAACTCACATTTTGAGTAGCAGTCATGCGACATAAGCTGAAATAATGCAGTAGCAAGGCGACTTGAGAAATAAGCTCTACTGTACCAAACATCGTGACCACAACGCATTGCAAAACTCGCCCGAAACGTTAGAGGAACACAAATACATTACATCGTTATAAGGTAACTTGAGCTTTTGACGCAACGCTTATAAAATGACGGTTGAATGTACAACTATATGCGTATTTGCCTCGTCGACGAGGCCAGATTTCACTCAGCTAGTAGGACAAAACGAAGAGGCGACAGCTGGATGTTCCTCACTAATATTGTGAAAGAAAGGAACTGAAACAAAACTGCAATCCAACTCACTTCCACACTCATCCGCATGCACCCTGCATTCACCTAAATATGCGAAAAGCATTGTTGATCAAGTACCTTGCAAGATAACCACAAAGATCACAGCAAAGTTTTGTCAGGCCATGGCACCAAACCAGTAGAAATTAACAAACAGGACTCACTCATGCATCGCACTTGGGTCGTTCTGCACTTCTCTGAAGAAAGAACAGAAAAAGTGGTGTTGGATGAATGTCTGAATATCTGGGAAGCTCATGCGGTCATACGAGGGGATTCACGCAAATTGTTGCGGGTGACACATCAGACAGTGATCATATATTCTGAACCGTTGGCTCTGGACTCACCAGTGCATTGTTTCAGATGCGGCGGCGGAACTGGATGAGGATAGAGGAGTGCATATGTAACTTAACCGTTAACTGTTCCTACATACAGTGTTTCAAATGAAAAGTGCAACTTAAATGCTCAGGGCTGGTATTCGCATTAGTTTAAGTGTGACTTTACGTGATCCCAAAGAAGATGCGCAGAACCGTTCTTGTTATCAAGCTTTGATACACGGCGTATGCCACTTTCTTATAAATGTACTCAGCGCTCTTAAGCAATCTTATCAAGCGAATTAGCTTTGGGTCCTAAATGGAACTGTGTGTGGGACGCGAGACATCGTTTGAACTGGTGATCGTAATAGTATCGCAGTTAGCGCACCGCAAAATGTTACAGGACAAACCACAATTTCACGTCGCTGCAAGAACATCCCCAAAATTTTAGAGAGTAGTGCAAGCAGCGATTCGGATCGGGATTTCGGTGGAGATTTCTCATGGGGACGCCGGAATCTACACCAATCCGGCTAAGCGGCTGGCGGCCGTTCCATTCCAACAGCAAACGTCATCACGGGGTGTTCCAGCTGTGCACTGTTGAGCTAGAACCCAGAATCCGACTTGTACTATCCGTGGTTAAGTTCAGAAGTGCAAGGCAATTCATCTCAACAGAAGGTTAGTGCTTAAATGCGGAAAGCCAAGTGAATAAGGTAATTTCGTAGCACATGATACGACTCACTGTAGCATGGGTCTATGTTATTGTCTGTGAGAAGAAGCGGGCAGGGAAGCAGGGCATGCTGTGAGCCGCAAGAATCATTTAGTGAATACATCAAAGCAGGAGGTATATTAGATCAATGTGCACATCATTCTGAGCGTCGCTTACACTCCGACGCAAAAGAATTGGGCGGTAAGAGACATGAAAGCGAGCGTTGGCGGAAGCACTAGCTGCATAATTACGGTTGCATATAGTGTCTTCGTCTAGAGTTTACAAGCCCTGCATGCGACCTTTGTTCGCAACATAATATTGATACTTATTGGCATTTACCTAGATCACTGTAACCATGCGGATTATGATTGACGTCGTGGCCAAGGTCACTTGCTATAAACCAGTTCTCATCGAAAATGAGCGAAGAACGGCGTAGTTAGTGAACTACGGTCAACTGGTGATGCTACAGGAAAAGTGGGTTTATGTGCACCGTATACATGTGTCGGTATGCCGTAACGCTGGAACTGAACAAATTGGAAATTTGGGTGAAACTGCTGTGTTGTAGCCGCTTGGATGACAAAGTTATCCGCGGGAACTTTCATGCTGATGAGTTTGGGTGTAGTGAGAATCCGAGCTATCCTGTGTCAGCTGCCTGAAAGTAGTGTGCAAAATATGGGCAAGGAGGGCCACAGCAACCATCATCATACTCGTGCGCACTCCGCGTATAGATTTCCACAATGAGGTCGTTCAGGACTCGGCGAGACCGAGACTAGTTCGATCACACTGCAAACACCAACACGATGAATATGATCAGCCAACCAAATTCAACATGCGGCGATATCTGCACCTGAACTGCCATAATGCGGTGCGTGATCTATCATCGGTTCCAGTAGCTTCTACGCCAACCAGAGTACACGGGGCTGACAGCTGTCCACCACGGAGTAGACAACTCCTCTGGGCAACTTAACTTTCGCTAACTAATCCAAATAATGTGGGGTAGTGAATAAACGAAATGTCAATGTGTACACTGCTTGGATCCCCAGGTTTATTAGCACAGTCGCGTTTGTTGACACAGTTAAAAGTATAGCTGACAACTCTGACGTAAAAACTTGCGAGCATCTGTATGCATCTAAATCACCACTGTAGACCACGTCGCTTGCAAATGGGTCGTTCTCCTTAAACATCTTATGATAAATATCCGGTTGAAGTAGTCCAGAGGTCTGTTGATTGCTAACTGAGAACGACTTGCGTTGGCAAGAGGATGAAGCAATAATATTCAAAAATGGAACGATAAGCGATGCAAATTAAGAGACAACGGGTGACACAAAATAAGCAGTTAGAAAACCGTCCTAATCTATTCTCAAATAATGTACGGTTAAAGGCGGCAACACACAACTTAGGCTGCACGTCATAGATTGTTCAACGGTTTTCGCAGGCATGTCCGATCGATTCCGCTTAAAGTCATTTCAAATTCAGCGAATCTAGCTTGAGTATACTGAATGGAATGCTAGCATGGACACCAGAGGAATTAGAAAGTGAATAATCAAAGTTGAGCCCATTGGGTCGTTTCGTTTCGGTGCGCACAAATGTCTAATGTACGGTGCGTGACACAAAGTAACAATGCGAGCAGAGTCCTCACTTACCTATGGAAACAGAGGCACCGAGAGTTTGTGTGCCAGCTTCAACCAAGACATCTGAAATGTGACAGTGGTTCATCAGAGGTCATCTGGTTTAGCCGCGTCGCATGAACAACTGACATTCGCGGACAACAAACCGATGACATCTATGGCAAATGTAGAACGCATACATGAGCAACTCAGCGCCTCACCTGTTGCAACCATGAGGACAAGTGACCGGATGATGTGGAACAACATTGTATCGGTGACCTGTGATGGAATGGTTTCGTAGTGGGCTATTTATATGCAATGCAATTAATGAGCGAGTGAGTCTGAATGCGATCCGTACGACTGCGTCAGCTTTGCAACAGATGTGTCAGCTGTCAACGAACTGATGGAGATCACACACGTTGTCTGTTTTCGCTTACTTTGTGAATCATCATCTTATGACGAACTGCAACTTCTCTAGCTCTTAGTGTTTGACTGTGTGTGGTATTAAAATCATTGTCTACATTTTCCGGGCTTCTTTCAGCTACCATTAATGGAAATGATGAACATGATTGTGTTTCGGATCACACTTGAACTTTGAATTTCTGATACTACTTCAGGTTGACGCTCGGAATTAACAGTTGGGATATCATCGCCACTGTTTCGCCCAGAGAGATGCTGACCGGGAGAGCTGCTGAAATTCGCACAACAATTAAATTTGGCCAGACATCTGCCACGTATTCAGAAGAGTCTCGCATGGACTCTGCTTCCCTTCGGGACTTAGAGGAACGATGAAACGATGGATTTGTCATCGGTAAAATAGCAAATGACTGACAAATCTTGTTGATGAAAGCAATACAACCCAAAAGTAACATTGTCGATAAACGTAGCGCGTATCGGTGGACTTGCCGTAAGCTTCCCATCAGCACATAGTTAGGCTACGGTATGGCTTAGTCAAGTAACTTATGTTTATACTGCATAAATCATGCAGTGCAAATAGCGCGATACGTCCTCGAGTTGCGCTTGAATTTCCTTAACGAGGGTGGACGATTGCGGAATTCAAAAAAAGCCTGCACGAGAAGAGTTGCACAGAGGGAGCAAATGTTCCTGCAGCCTTCCAACTGGCTATACGGGGTGAACAACTCCGGCATCTTAGTGATATATTGTTATTGAGCATCACTGGACCAATAGCACAATGGTATATTACGGGCAAAATAGAGGAAGCTTAGCAATGAATAGAAAACAGAGGGATAAAAGTAATATCGTTTTTGCTGACTCACCACAGGGTTAACATAGAAGCACGCAGAAACTGCCAAATTCAGTCGTGTAGGTTAATTCTGGTTGTGCATTTTTTGTCGCATTATGTACTCTCTCAAGACACACAGGATATAGCTCATTCTGCAGGTGGGTTAGGGTAACATCAAGGCATTTTTTAAACACAGGTTAAGTGGGGGCGGAAACGACATAATTTGGGAGGACGTTCCAAGGTTGACACACGAAAAGAGTAAAAGTTCAGTCGACATTCCAGCCGAGTGTATTGCGTGGCTAATTTGAACTGGTGACCCCTCAAATTCGTGTTCTGGCTCAGTTGCAGTAGATGACGGCAGACGTGTTTTGGGTTCCTTAGAATCTGGTAGCTCATAGTAAGGTCGTCAGGTAGGCGCCGGTACCGGCAGCTGTATTATTTTAGGGTCCTCAGTCTAAATTGATAAGGAAGGTTAAACAATTTTTGATGTGCGTAGTGGCTCGTCGTTGTGAAGTCTCGAGCGTTGCAAGGTATTGTTTGTGCCAGGGCTGCCTCACTTGGATCGAGCATTTCATATGAGGCCGCACGTAGATGTTAAGCAACTGTGAACAAACAGAGGGATATAACCCAAATGCTCTCTGCAGCATGCTAACATGTTGGTTCCTGGTTTTTGACGCCTTCTCAGATTGTTCTGAGCGGCCCAGATCAGTCTGAACTAGTACCCTAAGGTTGTGCTCCTGAGTGAATACTTGCAGGACATGATCTCCAAGCTTGAAGGTAATGTTCGGCTGGTTGGGAATGTGAACCACCTTACACTTCCCCGAATTGAACTGGAGCAAATTGTTAAGTGACCACGCATACACTCTGTCTAGGTCTTGCTGAAGTGCGTCGTGATCTGCTGGGTCGGCAATCATCTGCCACATTTTAACCGTCAAGGAAAAGTAAGAAATATGAAGTTATCAAATGTGCAAGCCCGTTAATGAGCACGAGAAACAGACGCGGCCACACAGCTAATCTTTGTAGACCTCTACATATGACATAAATCGGCACGTGCAACGCACTTCGAACTCTGACCTGCAGTTGCCGATTATGCAGGAAATTCCTGATCCACCTAAGGATTGGATCACCAAATCCAAAGCTTTCGAGCCTATGAAACACGATGCAATGGTCCAGTCTGTCGAAGGCTTTGGTAAGGTTGAGGTAAGTGACCTCTGTCCCTCTGCCTGTATCGGCCGCTTCCCTCCAACTACTGAGCGCAATCAGTAGGTTAGTAGTGCATGAACGGTGCTGGGAGCAACCGTGTTGCTCTGGTGCTATATTTTTCCACCGTTCTAAATAGTCTACTAAAGCCTCAGCGATGCTTGCCTCCATCAACTTTGGGAGCGCAGGGAATAGAACCACTGGGCGATAGTTGGTGGTTTCTGAGCGATTACCACTTTTAAAAATTGGAGTGATTACGCCATGTTTCCACCTAGTAGGCTCAATCTGTGTATCTAAACACATTTAAAAAAATGCGGTAATGACCCGGTCAGCGTGTTACTACTAGGTTTAGGGCCTTTGGGTGTATAAACTTGATTCCGGGAGAGCTGTAGGTGCGTAATGAGTGCACTTTCATCAACACAGCTGTGGCAGTAAAATCGATGTTAGTAAGTGACGCATTTGGGGATAGGGATGTGGGGTATGTACCACTGAGAGATATCTCTTTAAAACGTTGGGGCATACTGCATTCGTAGGGGGTCGACTGCTTCTCCGGCACTCTGTGCCTTTCTGACGGGTGTGTTAAGTGAGGGGATACCGAGCTTCACTTTCCGGATGGTATTAAAATGGTTGTATAGGAGCATTTTTGTTGGCAAATTTACGCGTCATATGTTGTTGGTGAGTCAACTTGTCCTCACGGACAATCATGTTACAATGGTTGCGCTGGTCACGTAATCGCTTTAGGTTTCGGGACAAGAAAGAGCTCTGTAAGTGCTACAAGTTGCATTCCTTATTGACAAACGCTTGTGAGTTCTACTTCTGATGAAAGATGAGGGATTGGTGGAGCAAACCCACTTTGTTTCCGAAGCAGTTGCGATTAAAGTGCTAGAGCCTTCAATAAACTGATTCCAGGCGCTATCAGGTAAGCCAAATTTCAAGAACACTCAGTCGGTCTCCTCAGCTAGCTTGTTCAAGATGTTGTACTGTGTGATAGCACATGTTAGTTCTGTGTGTTCCTCAGGATATTCAGCGTACCACACATAGTTATAAAGTATGGTGGCATGATCACTTAAGCCCATCAATAACCCATCAATAAGTGGTAGTGCTCGTGTTTGGGGTCTTGGAAAAGCGGATACTACATTATATGCTTACCGCACATATGACGGTACTGCTCACTGAAAACCCTTAGAACTTTCACTTGTGGAGTCACAGGTATGGCAACGCCATACATTTACTAAGTTTATCAGACCTGGGTGTGGCATTCGGAATGGGAATTCAGGTAAGATTTTCACGTTTGTAAAGAGATGACGCAAACGCGCTACGCAAAATATGTGCTGCTTATATTTGTTTGTAGGTCCTTTGCATTTCACAGCGTCAAACCAAAGCATGTTCTGACTGAACCGCTGATAACCCATTTCGCGTAGTGTTATGTAATCGCTCACTGCTTTTCTGACCTACAATGTCTGGAAGTCATCAGCAGAGTAAGGATCTTGTGGCGATCCCCACCACTAACAATAGATGATGCTTTGTAAAGGGTAAAATACTGGTACTTGAAAAATCCCGAAAGATGGTCAGGTTGAGGACCACAAACCCGGCGCTACAACATGCCCGATGCTTCTACAAGGTGAAGGAGTAATGCTACTGAAGGACGCAAATATGACAGTCCGTGTAGGCCGATTAGGGAAACATTTTATGTTAATTCTGTTGTAATCTCTGATGGAACCGCCATAACGATCGCGCAATCGTATGTCCGATCTTTAGTGATTACTTCATGTCTAACTATAGTACTTATGCGTGAGAGAAACCTTAGCCCAAGCTGACAAAGACAGCAGTTTACTCTAAACTGTTGAGTTCAAACATCATTTGACTTCAGCCATCAAGCTCACCAGCCCCTGACAACCTCTTACCAATTCTAATCAAATTTGAAGGTCCAGACATCCCCCTGTTTCTTTGTAATGTATTTGCGCATTCCATGTTCAAAGGAGGGTACCCCTTCTACTGGAAAGACTCAATTATAATACCATGACATAAAAGCAGTGCTATGCAAGATATAACAATTACCGTTCAATCCACCACACATCCATTACCTCCAGAATCATGGAGTAATTAGTTAAAAGAGGCATAAGAGAATACTTGAGTTCTATGAACTATATTAGTAGACAGCAGAAGGGCTTTTTGAAAGGTGTCTTATGCATTACCTGTCAGTTATGTGAGCTTGATTAGGTTATTAGAGCAAGAGACGCCGGAGGTACCATCGAGGTAATCTTTCCTGATTTCCAAAAAAGCCTTTGTGCGTGTCCCCATACAAGTAATTGCTACGGAAGGTTGTCTTATGGTAGCACAAATCTGCTTCTAAAGTGGTTTTCTCCCTACCACAGGAGTAACAGGCATGTTGTCAGCCTTAATAACTGTAAAAGAAAGAATAATGTACAGTCCTTCAACAATGACAATGTATATAAAAGATATGAATTATCTTCTGGGCGCTAAAAGCCCACTTCAATATCTACTGGTGTTACTCAAGGTAGCGTGCTTGGCGCGCTTTTATTCGTAACCTACTTCAACGATCTTGTTGAAATTATGGTTAGGAAGCCATTTCTTTTCGGTGATGGTGTTGAAATTTTGTGTTGTTCTGCCGCTGGGCAAGGTACTCTCAATATAGCCTGTAATCAGTCTGAATCGTCCGCACGACAGCACTAGTGTAATTCGTTGATGTCGACATTTGCTACTAAAATAGGTAATTTGTTGCTGCAGTCCCCAACCTTGTTATCGCCGCGGACCGGTCATCGTTTGATAATTTTGC